CACAAGCAAATATCAAGTTTGGTTCATTGAAAGGAGAAAACAAAAAAACAGGAAGGGTTCAAATTTAAAACGATGTTGTTTCTTATCCTATGAATAAAAACAGATTAAATGAATCCAGTTTGTAATCAGCTCCTTCAATTATAAGCCAGCATCACCTCTAGAAAGGCAGCCCTTTGAGGATGAAACCCCTCATTATGGGTTCAGCCCACTAGGTATGTGTGTAACAACCTGGGGGCCACCCTGATGATACTGAGGCATTCTACGGGGGTCTGGGCCTTTAGCCCCTGGAGCCAGGGGCCCCCTGAAGCAGGCACTGTGCTGAGACATGGTGGCCTGAGTGATATTCATGCGGGCCAGGTAAATGTGCCCTTCAGGCACAGCTGGGGCACTGGAGCGTTACGTTTCTGAGAAATGAGCGGGATGAATTAAGCTTGGAAATGTGGGGGTGTGGTACAGTTGGAGGGTGTAGTCTGCTGCATGCAGGCCTTTGGCTGGACCTGGGTATAAACTCTGGAGGAAGTCTGGCCCCTCTGAAAGAAGGGATAATGACCTCACACTCATTTTACACGGAAAAATAAAGGATAAAACCTGTTCTATTAAGTCAAGAGCACAGTGTCTTGCAAATGTGTTTAAAACCCACAAACCTATTTGCATTTTGTGAGACATTACAACAACAAACCTCAATGTTTGTATTGAGTTTTTATTCAAAGGATCAACACAAAATACCGCAAGTAATAAAGTAGGCATGGTTACCATTTCTTTTTATAAATATAAATCTGACATTTTGCATGCATCTATTATCACCCATTGTGTCTTGAATAACCCTAAAATAAGTTGGGCATGCAACTGCCTTCTGAAGTCTCCAAATTAATAAGCTTTGCCCCATTGGGTGGAATTTAATGCCAGCATAAACCCAGCTGTTCTCTGAAGGCATCAGAAGCTTCTTGGAGAGCATTAGTGAACAAAACAGCCTCATAAAGACCAAGAAGCACAATACATTGGCCGTAGATACATATGAGGAGAGGCTTAAATACAGGTTAGGTTCCAGAGAACAGCTTGCTTCTTCACATCTGAAAAAACACAATGGTACTTTAATGAAGTACTTTAAAGAACAACGGAGAATTCCTTACTAATCATCAGCGGGGACAATTTAGGGTGGGTGGGTGACTTCTGCTTCCTAGGACTTCAAATCGAGGAGGTTCTTACCTGGAGCATGAACACCGCTGCTGTTGGCAGGTTCCAGGGGGCAAATAACCTCATACACAGACTACTGGCTGTCCTTTTATTTGTGCTCTTTTGAGAGCATAATGATGCACTGCATCTCTGTATGGCACATCAGCGGTAGGCCTAAAGTGTCTCAGGGGGAGCTTTCCAAGGGGTCATTAACACGACCCAAGAGATCAATTGCTGCCCTCTACAAACACTTGAAGAACCTCCAGTTGCAGCCATCTCTAAAAAGCCAATAACACTATAAAAGACACTTTCTCATATTCTGGGTACGCTCTCAACACAGTCAGAATTTAAAGAGAATTTCAATGTTCAGTCTGAATATGGTGCATGTGGTTTTTTAAATCAATTTGTTTGAAAACAAATTAGAATTGTTCTCTTAACAAATCCAATGGAATATATTCCATTGTATCCTGTTAATAAGGTCCAAGACTTACAGATTGGGAGAGATGAGCATATTTCAAGTCAAGAAGACCATGGTGACGCTGGAAAAGCTGCACAGATCGAAAGCTTAGGCAAAAAAACAGATTGCTCCACTAGAACATTTAGACCTGAGCTCAACGAATCTGGTCAGAAAGAAAGAGGGCCAAAAAGTAAGAATTTGTAAAGAAAAAATAAGCCTTCTGGCAGATTGGACACAAAGAGGAAGTGGAAGATGGCATTTTTAACATATGGACAACGAACTTCATGTCTCATGTGCAAAACAATGTGAGATAGAAAACTAATAAAGCACTTCACCTTGAAATAGAACAACCCCTACTGCCAAAAACGGAGGTGGTTGCATAAATCGGAGGGGATGCTATTCAATGGGAGAGACTACAAGCTGTTCAGAGTTGATGGGTAGATTGATCTATCTAGAAAAACAAGTGCAAATCTGTCTGAAAAAAAAATACTTGACAACCATGAATCATATTTCATTTACTACTTTTGGACTAGTTTGCTTATGTAAAATCACAATAAAATTTATCGAAGTTTGTGATTTTAGTGACATAAAATGTTAAAAGTTTGGGCAGCATGAGTACCTTCGTATATGTGGCCTATTTTGGACATTAGAGCACAGATATTAGTAAAGGAGGATACTAAAAATGAAATGCCCTCTGTCTCTAATGTCAGATTTTAATTCACTTTTCCTCACTGTTTCTGATTGACAGAGAATAATTCAACTAAATAACCTGGAATTACTGGCATTCTGACCTAAAAGGCCATTATTCACTGAAAGTGACGTGAGTTAAATCAGAAAATGTGTTTCTGTGAGAACCAACTACTGGATGACAAAAATCTTCTTTGTCTGATCTGTGGCCTTGCTCCATGATAATTGAGCCTTGAGGGGGGTGGGGATAATTTGTTCCCGGATCTTCAGATTGTAATATTTTTATTTGAGCCCAGGAGGGGACCTGTTGAATTGCCAGCTTTCATTGTGTCCTGACCAGGAGCACAAAAGTGTTGTCAATTAATTTGTCCTTTTATTGCAGAGCAAAGATTTCCTGAGGGAATTCAATTATCCACCAATTAGGAGGTGTTTCCCATTGTTTACACTCTTTGATTCCGTGCGTATGGATGTTGTTTGGAAATAAAACAGAGGGAGGGTGTTACTTGGCATGAATATTTCTATGTGTGGCCTGTTTCAGACTTTTTACATCAACCACACCACATTAAACCCATATTTCAAGCACATTGTTGAGAAAAACATTATGACTGACAAAACGTTTGGTTAAGGCACCTCGAGATCACATAATATGCTAAATTTCTGAACTGTTTGCAGGTAGCTTTAAAGGTCTGAACGCATGAAACTAGTGGGGTATTGGATGTGACAAGTGAAATATATCTCAGTTTTACACACTTTCCTGCTTCCAGACACTTTTACATGAATTTCCTGACAAGGTCTAATGTGTGCTGGTTCGTTAAGTTTACTGCATTCCCGACTTAAACCACAAATGTTTGAAGATGTGATCTTTTGTATTACTTCAGAGTCTGATCAAAACTCTTTTTCAAACAGCTCAGCAGGATGCCACCAGAATATTTGAAACGCCCGATTTAACTTAGAAATTCCGCCCCCCACCAAAAAAGGAGGAGGTCAAAGGACCTGTTGTTCTCTGATGATTTTTCTCAGTGATGTCACTCTTCGACAATTAAATCGCCACACGAAGGATTCAAGCTGATGAATCTGCTGCACTGACAGGGGCGCCTTAAGAGGGATTTTTAAACGAATGGATTGAATGGAGGAGTGGGGCCTTTTAGTTTTTGTGAAGGGGGAAGCACAAAAGTAAAAGTTATTATAAAACATTATATATGGGAGTGCAGATTTTCAAAAATAAATATTGCACCCCCTTTTTTTTTTACTTTTTAGCTAAAAATCATCATGAATTAAAAAAACTATTAAAGAAGAATTTAGCTAATAATTTTGGCCTTCAATGAGCAAAAAAGGTTACAAAATGTATATTGGTGACCACAGCTCTCCCTCCGGATGACCATAGCCTGAAGATGTAGGGACAAAATAAATACTTTTTAAAACTGACAATGAAGTCACAGAGGAAGATGTGTGTGTATATATATATATATATATATATATATATATATATATATATATATATATATATATATATATATATATATATATATATATATACACACCTCTTTTTAAGGTTTCTGGATGAAACAGTTAAAGTAACGAAAATAGCAGTGAAAATGACCATCAGACCTTGAATTAAGTAAAATGAGTTTCTTTTATTTAAAACCTATGGGTCTTAATAAAACACCTTCTGTCTTATTTCTTATGTGTAAAAATATTTTTTTGTAAAAAGATGTAGAATTTTTTTGGGAGATAAAGTTTACTCAATCAGGCCTAAAAGTGAAGGTGTCCAAAACTTCGTAACAAAAATAAAAGGTTTAAACTTGCATCTTAAACAATTAGATAGATTTACAATAAAATATTATAGTAAAAATAAAAACATTGAAATTGACTGTAATGGGGTCATGACAACCAAATGTATTTACATAAGAAATGTGAAGGTTACAATGGTACGCAGAGCCAAAAGTGCAATAAAATCAAAACTTTTTGTAGGCTTTGAATGAATTCGAGATATAAATAAGGCATTGTACATCCTTTAGCATCTTCTATTAGCTACTGAAAATATGTTTTTCAACCTGGAGATGTATTAAAATTCATAGCATCATTTCAAAAAAAGAAGTATTTCAATATTCAATGAATCCCTGGTTTCTCTGCAGTTTACCAACTCTGACCTCTCAAATCTTTTCTATTAACATAAACAATTATTTACAAAAACTAATCAAATAAGTTTCATAGGTCAGTCTGGCAGATTAATTTAATGTGTGGCAATTATACAACAGCAAAAACTGTAAAACATTAGTGATGGCAGATTTGCGAAATTATATTATCCATTCCTTCCACGTTTGAAACTAAACTATTTATATATTGCAGGGTGAAAATGTGGCCCACCATGGTGTTAAAAATGTAATAGTCTGCAAAACATACCGTAAAAAAAAAAGAAAGAAAAATGTATTCATGACATCAGATATGATTTTAAAAAAAGTATTTGTCTCTTGTTATAGTTGTTCCATATATCATTAATCTATTAAATGTGACATCTGTTAAATGGAACCAATAATTAAATAGAGAATGAATTGAAAGGCCGGTTTTATGCCGATTTTCATTAAAGTTATACATGTAAAGGCATACTTTTAGAAGTAATATTTCAAATATATGTATTTTTGTTTTTTTAAAGAATTGAAAATGAACTATGAAGCCATTGGGATTTTTTTTTGCTACCATATATAATCCATCAATTTTACTCCTTGACGTATAAATATGGCACTTTTGGAGCTCCATACAAAAGAACCAGCAAACAGTCTAAACCTCAGTTCCCTCTCGGCTGTATATGAGGTTATTGACGCTGAAGTGGTTGGAGAGGCTCTGTGCTGATGTATAATAGTTCATCCTGTTATTCTCAGAGTTAAGAGGGGAGATTAATGAGGGAGAGTAGGAGCCAAGTCCGGACAAGCTCTCCCTGCTCTGGGTCGTCCCCCCCCCAGGGGGCCCGGAGCCATCGCTCCCCCCCAGCAAAGAGTTGACGCCAGACATGAAGCTACTAAAACACGGGCTGTGTTCCACGGAGGGAGGCGGAGACGCAGACTTGGGCTCCGTGGAGGACGGGGATGCTTGTAAACTGGGAGGGGAGGGCGTGAGGAGGCTGGAGGTGTCGGACAGTTTACTGGGAGCGTCCTCTAGTTTGACAGCGCTGTTTATATCCGATCTCCTTTTTCTTTTGCGTCTGAAGTTTCCGTTGTCGAACATCTTCTCACAGTTGGGGTCCAGAGTCCAGTAGTTCCCTTTTCCTGCACGACAAAAAAATAAATACATTTTTAAAAATTACTACTGAGATCAAGCCATTTAATTAAGTTTAACATTTAATTTCTTTGTAAAAAAAACAAAAACAAAAAAACAAAAAAAAAAAAGCAAAAAAAAAAAAATACTACTGAGATCAAACCATTTCATTAAGTTTCACATTTAATTTTTCTTTTTTTTTTAAGTGTCCTGTAATATGGCAATAAAAGAAAAAAAAAAGCCCAACAGATTTCATTTCAAAGCAGGTCAAATGTTGCAGACTCACCTGGATCGTCCTCATCTCTGGCGACTTTCTTAAAGCAGTCATTCAGAGACAGATTGTGTCGGATGGAGTTCTGCCAACCAGCTTTGCTCTTCTTATAAAAAGGAAAGTTGTCAGCTACATACTGATAGATCTGACTCAGAGTCAGCTTCTTGTCCTGTGCGCTCTGGATGGCCATGGCGATGAGAGCAGAGTAAGAGTAAGGCGGCCTGACCATCTTAAAGAGCTCCTGCTGGCTGGAGATGGACAGCCAGCTCAGATCGGCTCCATCGAACCCGCTTGGAGGCGGCAGGAACTGCCTCTGGTTGGAGCCGTATCCAGGTTGCATGTAAGAAGAACCGTTGTTTCCGGGAAGGTATGAGGAGTTGATGGTCGGTCCGTTGAGCCAAAGGTAGGGGTTGGTGGATGGGGAGGTATAGTCACCCAGGCTGTAGGTGGAGGAGTGGGCCGGCGGCCTCTGAGGGTGGTGGTGGTGGAGGTTCTGCTGGTAGACTCCATAGTTCTCGCAGTAGACGGCCATGTCCAGGAGCTCCTGTGCGCTGTGATGCTGGATGTGGCTGGTCTGGTGGTTGGATGCAGGCTGGTGTCCTAACCCGTTCATAATCCACACAAAACAGAATCCCTGAAGAAAAGAAAAAAAAGGTGCAGCCTCTCTGTGTCTCCCTCAGGACTGAAACCTCTACCTAAGGGGGGAGTATTTATGCAGTGAGCCCCTACAGGTAGCCCATTTGGAAAACTTTTTTTTTTTTTTTGGATTGACACACCCCTCGGCTCTGTAGTTGCCCCCCCAAAGTCTTTACTCAGCCAGAATACCTATTAATGAGCTTTGATTCCTCCTTAATGCGGAGCCTCTCAATGTCCGTGCGTAATTACGCACAAATGAAAAAACCCTTAATGGCTACTAGATGCAATCGCAGTTATGCATTTTAATTAAACACGATTTAAAAGAGTACATTTAAAGAAACTAGTATTGAATCATATATTTTAGCGTTGGATAATATATTATCCAAGAAAATCGAGCAGTCAGCCCTGTTACCACATCTGAAAAAGGTACAAATTATCTGTAGAAAGTCTCCCATAAATAAAAAAATCCATGTTGTTTCAGAACCATCAGGATATATTTCATCTAGAGAAAAAAAATGCCTATCTAATAAAAAAAATGCATTTTTAATATTTATGATGCAAGAGTAAAAACATGAAACATTTTCTTTGCATTTTGCAATAAAGAATCGTTTCAGAAAGTTTGGACATGATTTTTTTTATAGCTATCCTCTATAAGTAGGATCCACCAAAAGCTCACTTATTAATGCAACTTCTGTTCTCTTTCAGATGCATTCTTATAAAAAAAAAAAACACCAAAGCTGAACACACACAATTATATATACTGTAGATATTTATTGCAGATATAAAGAGAGCTATAACAAATTAGGCATCAATGGATTCTAATAAACATAATTTTAAAGTATTCATTTTTTTCCACATTTTTATTACTTTTTTGCCAGTTAAATGGGGATATGAATTAACCATTAGACTGGTTATAAGGAATTAAAGACAAAGCTAAACCAACAAAAGAAGCGGAAGGTAAATTTAACCAGATATCTACCCCTGAAACTTTTGAAATGGGTCATAAGTAAACTAGAACAAGAAGGTCTGCATCAGCCTGAAAGTCACAAGTTATAGTCTTAACATTTAAGGTGGAGCCGGTTGAATAAAAGGGATTTTGCATAAAAAAAAAAGTGAAACTTTAGAAAGTAACTTATTCCAACTGTCTGGTGAACCGTAACACCAGCTGGCAATGCGGCTGATATTTATCATAAGATACTGAAGTTTAAATATAATATTTATAATTTAATACAGATTCATACATGTTGATTTCCTCTTTGAAACTTATTTAGGTTTGTATTTACAGCCCCAAATAAGTTGGCAGCCATCCCAGTGAGCAGTGGGCTCCACAGGATGTGGCTGGGCTACCCCACACACTAATCGGGAGAACATTCCTCTGCTCCATGACCTTGATGTAATTGTTTGGCTCTGAGGTGTTGTCCCAACTGCAAGTTGTTCAGGGCAGCACAAGTAACGGGCTTCAGGGATGGGGGGGCACATGGCATTTAACCCCAAGATGAAAACAGCACAACCTGTTAGGTGTCTAACACCCAGCTGAGGTAATAACTCCTGACTGCACATCCAGATCTGAAACGGCTAAAGAAAACCTGTTTCCATTAGAAACGGCTGCTTTTTGACAGATTTGATCTTTCATTCAGTGGGCCAATCCTAAATTTTTATCACTGTTTAAAACAGATTAAATTATGAGGTTGTGAAGCTACTTCATCAAAAACTATCTGTATAAAAGGTCCGTTATGTTGACGATTCCAGGACACTGTTATTTTCCCACAATAAACGTAAAGGTTATGATGGATTTGATGAAGAAATGAATTTGATAAACAAAGGAAAAAGCACTGCATCATTTTTTTAATGGTGAAAAAAGTCCTCTCATTTTTTTCATTAGAAATCAGAAGTTTGGCTGGCATGAATTGTTTTTATTGCCCCTTTCTTCTGAACACCCTAACATTTTTCAACAGAAAAGACTACCTTTAATCTGTGCTTTATTTAAGTGTTATTGCAGTTGTTCTATGAATGAACATTAGTGAGTAAATTGTTTGATGAACCCAGCAGTGATATCTGACCTTGAGACAGACATTATTGAAAGTAAGCTATAACAAGTTTGCCAAAAGCAATATAAAGGGTCATGTATTTGTTGTGGATCGCCTTCTCATCACCTTAAACACACCATCCCCACACTGACATAGTGATGGTAGCATTATGCTGTGGGGAGCTACTTCAGGCCAGTTCTTGAAGCAAACATTTTAGAGGTTGCATGCGATTTCTAGAGTGGGTGGACAGTGTTATGCACGACTGCGTTCAATTAACGGCATTCAATGAATATGTTCATATTTTTAGTTTAGGTGAACTGAACATACCAGCTTTAAAGATAATGAGCGGCACACATAGCTCACTTTTTGTATTCAATTGATAACAACACTCGATTCAGAATAACCTACTGGTATTTCTAATGCCACTTTTGCAGAGCGCCCTGCAGTTAACTAACAATGGAAGACTCGGACAGAAAAAATAAACTCAAGTTTTTTTGCAAACTGTGCCCACCGGAACTTAACAAGTCCGTACGTCATCCACGTCCAATTCAAATTTAAGGCGACACATCGAGTTAAAGCACTCAAGCTATCTTAGCAAATATTTGCTACTCAATGAGGAACAGAAGAAATAATTTTTGTGTTTCCGTATGTTTCTGAACTTATGAGTAATTTGGATGAATAAAGGCTTTACTGCACATACAGTATACCTTGACTGCATCAAGTATTTTCCATTTCTTTCTATAGATTATGGTGAAATATGAGGTTCTATGTTGTAGAATTGTGGCTTAATTCACCAAAATGAACTCAAACTAGTTCATTTATAGGTTTCTGAAATTGGTTAATTAATTAAGTGAACTTTGGTTGTAGCTATTTCATTTTCATATGTGTGAACTGAAGTTTGAGCTTGTTCTTTTTAATGATGCACTGGCACAACGTTGGGGTGGAAGTACTTTGTCCTTAAGTGAATCTTTGAACCTCTCTCTGATCTTAAGCCCAGCTCCTGGGGGTGACATTAGATGTGTAAGAGATCTCATCAAATATGTAGCCATGCAGAGGCATCAAGAACCCCTCCAATCTGAGAGACAGTGTGTGAGATTTCTACTGCAGGCTGATGGGAGAACTGCCACACTGCTCTCTTCAATATGTTTCAGCAGATTTTACAACTGGAGTGGGTTGAACAATGACCGATTAAAACGAAAGGACTCTGGGTTAATAAGGCCGGTTTTCTGCAGGCTACCTCAGCTTTAACTGTGTGACAATATGACTTTGACATCTGCAAACTGTTTACTGCTTTAAAGTAATTACAGGACTTAGATGCACCCAGGGCCATTACAAATCAGCAGAGGGTGAGATAAAGTCATTAATTTTGTCTGTGTAAACAAATTATGCATGAGGCCGGAGGCTTGTTATGCCCACTGTCTCCCTCCAGTGGTAGAAAATAAGAAGACATGCTATGTTTTCAGTGCTTATATATGAAGAAAACAGTCAGGGATAAACATCACAATCACAGGAATATCAACTGCTTGCACTGACTGTTATATTTTTCACCCCTCCTCTGTCTGCCTTGGATCTGATGTTTCTTTGCTTCTAATAATCCTTTTATTTGCAAATTCAATGTTCATCAATTCTAGTTAGCAAACCCAAATCCACATTAACACATTTGGCCTTAGCGACTTAACAGGGATTAAAAGGTGAATAATAGTTTAACAATAAGAAGGGTAATAAGAACGACTGAGAAAGCTACCAGCACCTCAATGTCATCACTGTAGGACTTCAGAGATGTTGTTGGGAAGCACCCTTCCAACAGAAAGAGCTTCACAGCCATCTATTCTTCTTTTAGGGGAAGCAAACAGAAAGGTTGTATAGGCAAGTGCCTAAACCTGGAGAAAAATTTAAATCGGCACCTCCATTTTTTTTCTCCTTTTTCCTTTTTTTAGCAGATTGAAGCAAACCAATTTAACATATCAATCCAAGTTGGGTATGTTAAATTGGTTTAACATGTCCAACTTGGATTGAGAACCAGACTGATATTATCCCTGGTTTAGGACTCCGTAAGTTGTAGCCCAGGTTGTGGATCTCTTTGTGTCAGTTGTGGAAATGCTGACTCTAGTCAAAGGATGTTTTCAAATAATAAAACGCTTGTATTAACTTAGCAACACAATCTTCTGTGGACCTTTGTGTAATACAGTTTTCCTTTGACTCAATTTTCTATGAATATTGCATACATACAGCTCCTTCAGCAAAAATGCTTTTGGCAAATAATGTATCCCTCTGTATTTTTAATATATGGATTTCAGGTTTGAATTGTAATTGAAATAGCTTTTTTTCAAGTTTACAGGAAGAAAAAAAAGCCCCCAGCACAAACACGTTTTCTGTGACTTTTTAGCCTGTTGACCAACATCATCTTTGTCTGATATGAGCATCTACAGCAGAAGGGCATCGTTAAACAGACCAAAATTATTATAATTAATAGCCTTCCAAGCAAAAAAAAAAAAGACTTTTTCAATATTAAAACCAACAGATATTGTGCTCCAAACAGTTCTTTGCATCATTGATACTGGCTGAAAGTGCAGCAACAACAATTTGATTTACTGTGCAGCCCTGTTTTTCATTATGCAAACTATGTCCAAGACAGATTTTCAGAAATTGAAAAGCCTGCCTATCCAAAATTAGGAAAAGAGCAATTTAAAAAATTAAAATCATTTATTTCAGCCTGCTCCATTGTAGCTTTGGCTCTGTGCAAGGTTTTTATCTCTAGCAGGCATTAACAAGTTACCTTTTATTGCTGCCCTGTATTCAGCTCCGTCTTTATATTATCTTTAACCAGCTTCCACACTGGTGCTGATGTTGTCAGCACCAGTGTGTTCAGTGGGATGTTCAGTTCGTTTTCTAAATAACACAATCCGTCAGTTAGAGTCAGCAGTTTCCAAAGTCATTCTTCAAGGGCTGGTGTCCTGCATCTTTTAGATGTTCACCAGGCTCAACATATATAAATGGATCATGAA